TCAAAAGTACCGGTTTGGCACCGGTATCGGATAAAACCTAAACGATACCCATCCCTACTTAGGCATTAAAGCCAAAGTGGCCTGCACAAGAAATTAAAGCAAAGATTTAAAAATGTATTTGTCTTAAAATTCTCAAATATGGGAACAAACCACAAGAAGTTAATGAAAGTTTTTCATTTATTTTTTCAACACGTGTCACAGTTCTTAACTGTTTATCTTTAACAAGCTAACAGGCCAATGCGACTATATAACTGCCTCAGTGATTTCTAGAACTACATAATAATAATAATAAATGCAAGAATATCTGTAACAATCTAATAGGAAAACTGCTATTACGCTAACGTTATTAGCTCTGGGAGCTCAAGGAGCTTTTAAAAAAAGGACGTTTAACATCACATGCTTCTAATTTCAGCATAAAATACAGCAGTGCAGACACCACCCTGTCCTGCACTTTATTGGATGTGCCTGAGATTACTTACATTACCCGAGAAAAGTCTGCAAAACCAACGTAGTTCATTTGAAAATACAATATGTAATCTTAGTGCCTAACATATTATATTTGAATAAAATGGAGTTTTACATTAATGACTCGCTGCCTGTTTGTCTTGAAAAATCAGCATTTATCACAGAAAGTAAACCGTCTTAATTTACGAGTGCATCTGTATGCAGCAGCTGAAAGCTTGACAACAGTAACTACAGAGGTTTTGAGTCTGTATGCTTAAACATCAACATCAGCAATCAGAGAAGCGCATTTCATACCTTCCACCTCCTGACCTATGGAGAGACCGGCCCATTTCCTCTACAGGAGAGAAAAACAAAGAAGAAAAGCCTGAGCATGTGGCTAACACGTAATTAACAGGTCTGTGAGTTTTTGCACGAGTGTACCTGTGGCAGGCTGAAGGCGATGCTTCCTGCAGACACAGTGTGGTGGGTCTTGACTGTAAACACATACTTGTGGTTGGGTGTGGTCTTCACACTCACATGTCTGTGGAGAGAGACTGGATTACAACTTTTATCTTACATTACATGTTTATAGTTATTGCTCAAGCTGAAGCTGAAGGTGTCTTTAAGTTTATTTTGATTTTTTGAGATAGCAACTCTGAGATGGAGCCCATGGCCTCCAAGCCTGGAGGATCCCAGCTCTGCCACCTCACATGAACTTGTTAACAGTCAGACATTAAACGGTGCTGTTAGGACTGTGGGCAGGTTGGAGCGTCTCTTTCTCTTGCAGCAGGTAGAACTGTGGACAGAGCTGTATTTCCAGTGCTTGCTCCCGCACTCCTGTTTGTCGTTCTCCTTTATCACTACCAGATATTTAAGTAGTGGCTGTGGCAGCAGTTCTCTACAAGATCATTGTCTCCACTACAGGGATAACTTGGCCAACCTCAGTGTGACTTAATCCTTTTTATTCCCAGTTGATCTTCCTAATGGTTCTTGGACTTCTCACCTTCAAGTTAATTCTTTCTTCACCTGCCCTCTGGAAAAACCGAGCCACTGCAGGATATCTACTTATCTCCTTCAAACCTCAGTCTGCTCACCTTCAGTCAACCCTCTCCTGTGCCCTTGGTGCTCATTTATACAAGCAAGCCTCTATTACGGTGACTATTGGCTGACACATTGCATCCCTTTACACCGTCTATCGCTAAGAGCAATCTGCCCTCTCAGTCTAAACCAGCCAAGCGCTTTTCTCTCATGTATTGTAAATAAATAAAGGTTGCAGATGCTGAAATATGCAACTATTGTACAGTGGGATGCAAAAGTTTGGGCAACCTTGTAAATAGTCATTATTTTCCTGTATAAATCGTTGGTTGTTACAATAAAAAATATCAGTTAAATATATCATAAAGGAGACACACACAGTGATATTTGAGAAGTGAAATGAAGTTTATTGGATTTACAGAAAGTGTGCGATGATTGTTTAAACAACATCAGGCAGGTGCATAAATTTGGGCACTGTTGTCATTTTATTGATTCCAAAACCTTTAGGACTGATTACTGGAACTCAAATTGGCTTGGTAAGCTCAGTGACCCCTGACCTACATACACAGGTGAATCCAATAATGAGAAAGAGTATTTAAGGGGGTCAATTGTAAGTTTCCCTCCTCTTTTAATTTTCTCTGAAGAGTAGCAACATGGGGGTCTCAAAACAACTCTCAAATGACCTGAAGACAAAGATTGTTGACATCATGGTTTAGGGGAAGGATATAGCCATCTGTTTCCACAGTTAGGAACATATTGAGACAATGGAAGACCACAGGCTCAGTTCAAGTTAAGGCTCGAAGTGGCAGACCAAGAAAAATCTCGGATAGACAGAAGCGACGAATGGTGAGAACAGTCAGAGTCGACCCACAAACCAGCACCAAGGACCTACAACATCATCTTGCTGCAGATGGAGTCACTGTGCATTGTTCAACCATTCGGTGCACTTTACACAAGGAGATGCTGTATGCGAGAGTGATGCAGAGGAAGCCTTTTCTCCGCCCACAGCACAAACAGAGCTGCTTGAGGTTTGCTAAAGCACATTTGGACAAACCAGCTTCATTCTGGAATAAGGTGCTGTGGGCTGATGAAATGAAAAGTTATTTGGGCATAACAAGGGGCGTAATGCATGGAGGAAAAAGAAAAACACCTGCTACCTACAGTAAAATATGGTGCTGGTTCCATCAGCTGTGGGGCTGTGTGGCCAGTGCAGGGACTGGGAATCTTGTCAAAGTTGAGGGAAACATGGATTCCACTCAGAATCAGCAGATTCTGGAGACCAAGTCCAGGAATCAGTGACAAAGCTGAAGCTGCGCCAGGGCTGGATCTTTCAACAAGACAACGATCCGAAACACTGCTCAAAATCCACTAAGTACAACGT